ATCTTTTATTAAAATAAAATAATAAAATCTTTATTTATAATATATTTAAAAATATATATATAAATTAAAATATTTTATTTATATTTTTTTTATATTATATATATAAAAGTAAACTAGTTTATAAATTTACTATTTTATTTAACTTATTATAATTAATTAAATTAGTTTTTTCTTTATCTTGTAATCTTGCTTTTATTTTATAATTTTACTGCCTACTCTTAAAGTAGGGCTCCCTTTTAGTTAGATCCACAAGTAGTTAGTCTCCGCCGCGGGCTTGAACTAACAGGTATAGCTCATAGCGTCATACATCGTACCTGAAGCCAGCGACTATTCCCTAATATTATAACTCTTTGCTTTTCCTTCAAAATGGATGACTGTTGGCGTCAGACAATGCTTTCCTCGCGGGCCTTTCACAATCGAAAGACTCGCAAATTTACAGCACAGGCTTCTAGTTCCTCCACCATCACAAGAGTCATTGGCTCATACCAACTTCAATGCCCCAAAGCTCATTCCCTGGCTCGTACCTCACAAGTCAACCGCGATCCAGCCAAAGATGAAAAGCATGCCAGACAAAAACGTCACCCCGCCAACTCTCCGCGATTTGAGATTAATCGGTTTACCGATGAGGAAGACGGGTTGGAGGGCGACCTATTCCTTCCTGACGTGTTGGATGCTTCTTTTATCATGGCCGGAAGTCGGAAGAAAATTCAAGAGATCTTAGATCGCGCAATTATCAGAGAAGATTCAGATTTTGAACCTGAAAGCGTCGCACATAGCCCTGGGGGAAGATCCGCGGATAACTCTGACGCTGATGATCGGCAACACGAGACCTGCCCCGACCAGCAAACATCTGAGGTCTTGGGAGATGGAGATGAAGATGAACACCCGAAAGATTCCCATGACGACAAGACCACTGCAGAGTTGCGATCCGACAATTTCGAGAAGAATACCTTCCGACAACCAAAGTTCTGGCTTTCATGGAGAGGCAAAGTACTTGTAAAGCCTGAATCAGGTGTAGCCCCTGAGGATCATTCGCCACTTGGCGCGATTCAATCTGGCGTTGGTTATGTCGTCTTTACTGGAAACAAGTACCAAAAGTTCAAGGGTACCATCAGCTGTGATGTTCTTGGCTGGGACAACGTTGCAATAACTGGTTGGAAGCAGTGAACTCTGTCCGTGGAAGGGCCAGACTATTACAAGGCATAGACTATATTCCATCTATCAAATCATACCATAGAGCTGATGTTACCACTTGATTCCCTTAAGCCTCTCCCACTGAGCTACTTCCCTATAATATCCTCACGATCTCTTGGATGAAGACTTTGAGCTTCGTTTCTCTGGTGTCAAAATAAGGCCCGGACTTGTAGCCGCAATGTAACATGATGCATCAACCAGCCGCCACACGACAAGTGGACATGCCATAACATCTAATGTTTAATCTCTATCATGTTTTCTTAGCTGGTCGCCATTATGGTAGCAAGCTAGTTACTACATTAGTAAAGCTGAGCGAGATACTGCCTCTTTAGCGACTGGAGAGCACAGATCTAATGCACGGAGCATAAGGAGGAATACGGACCCCGTACCGCGATGAACGCTAGTACCTTGCGGAACTTCAGAATCCAATCATGCGACACAGAAAACTCAATTCACGGACGTTGCAGCTCGGGCTCCAGTCGGCATTAACTGAAGGTCTTCATTGCGTTACAAGGGCATCATATTGGTACGCGATGGCCAGCCCGACGTGATGAGAAATCTCTACTGATGGGGCCTCACTCCTCAGCAAACCTCCGCAATAAGTCGGAAGGACGGAGAGCAGCGGATGATTTGTCAACACGAGACGTACCAGAGTCACTGCAGACAATAACACGATGCAACTTACTAAGCAACTAGTGACTTCACTCATGGCGATGATGCTTTCATGCAGAGACTTGCAGGTATTAGTGTCATAGACGAAAAGTATGCTATTCTGTGTATTACCTATCCCTGGCTGGCAGTGGATCTGAATATCAGGACCGGCGACTAATACTCCAATCAGAGTGTTTCTGTCTGCACATATGGCCATGACAAGTAGACGAGCGAGGGGCGAAGATATTGCCCCCCAGCTTCAACCAACATGAATCATTAGACTCAAGGTTGTGGAACTATGCAATGTTTCTCACGTTACACCCTCCATTGTCACTTCAGGGATCCGCCAGAGTGCGGAAACCATAGAAGGTATCAGGCTAGCGGGGATAGCTGGGAATAGACTGGGAGCATGGTAATAAGATTAGACATAGTGGGAATATTTAACCTGAAAAATGGACTATAAGTGAGAGATTGAAGCGTCTCCGGATCGTAACACGACTCTCAGTCGTAAAAAGTGCTAGAACCGGCGATCTGTCGTAAAGGCTACTGTATTAAGAGGAGTAGAGAATACTCATGGGGTAGGCTTACACTGCATGCGGCTGAGTGACCAACAGCCAATAGTTTGAGCTTCCTGGAAGATATCACCCAGTGATGTGCCTTGACCATGTCCATGAACTCAAGTCAAACAAACCTAGACCTTGAACTAATGCAGGTATAAATCGATACGAGACTCAGCTGTTTCACATCTCACGTGATCTCATGATCTGGCCAAATCAGTATCAGGCTTCCATTTTGAGGTGTAAGCTGGTCCTAAAGAAAGTGCCTGACGAAAGCTAAAAATACTCTAAACGAGACTATTGAATGTTGTGCATACAGAAATGGGCATGTCATCACACCCTCGAATCATCAAGATGGTGAGCCCAACCATGTTGTTTCCTGTTCTGAGTGGCACTAGCGACCAATCGCAACACCCTCTCGACCACATACGCTCTGTTGGTAGACAAATGAGGCACTGCGTCTCATAAATATCGCAGCTCTCACTAGCGGCGTGAGACCCAAGAGTCAGCTGATGTCAGTAGCGACTAGGGATCACGAAATGCAAGTTATCACTGTAAGCCATGCATTAATGGACAAAACTCGACACGAGCTTCTAGTTAGGCGGGCACCAATGGTTGCTCGTCCCAAGAGATATTCTCCGGGTGCACAACATAAATACCGCGATCGAGCTTACATGAGGCGCCTGCATGATTACACTCACATATAATGTCGGTGATGTGGATTTTCGGCGTTAACTTGCCTCCGAAAGATTCTCGTGCTTTCCTGGATCGGCCAGAGCTAAATCGATTGACGAAGAGAACAAGCCAAGCTGAGCTGAAAGACTAGGGTGACTCGATATGCATGTTAGAAAGCTTAAATAGACTTCTTTCACTCAGTCATGAGCGATTTAAGGTGATGTTAACGTACGGAGTACCAGGCTGAAAAGTCTTGACGGAAAGGTGTACTAGAATATCTCACTGGAAAGTCCCGGTGGAAAATCCTAGTGGAAAATCTTGCTTGATAGATTTGGACCTGACCGTTACAAGTGCCTCAACGTTGAGGCCGGCTTGGCTTGACACCCGCATTCCTGAGCATGCAACCGCTGGTAACGTCTTGATTGGGGATGGTTACTCGACCAGACTTTTCGTCCTACACATAATATGCATAATGAGTGGCATATTGTGCTGTGTCATGCTGATAGTATTATCTCCGGAAGACTCGGTTGTGAGATCTGGGCAAGGCACAACAGCAACAACGAACCAAAGCTGCAGAATGAGAAGCTGTTCTCGTGCCAGCAAAGCTCTTTCGTTCTATTTCTATCTGGCTGTTGGTGAATACGATATATCCCTCGAACTACTGTTTCACATCAACTGGGTTGTTCCATCTAAAGCTGACCTATGGACGTCTGGCCACGGAGAGTTCAGTTGTCCGAACCGCAACTGAAGACCAATCGGCGAAAGCAACCCTGCAAATATTCATAGTCTGCATCTGTTGCCTGGATTTAAACTTGACTGTTTTACTAGTTAGGTTCAGGGGAAGCTTGATCCAACCTTTGCTCTCTGCTTCTTCATGAAGACACCACATTCAGAAGTGCATGCATGATACGAGAAGACACAGATTTCTGTTGGTAAGCAAGCCACCACCTGAAAATCAACGACAATGACAACATCATTCTACAACAACGCCATGTGGCAGAACCTTTCAGAGTATCAACTCCGTCCCGAGAGAGCAGTCATGTTAGGGTGGAAGCGTAATGTCCCTGTAAAAGCCAATCGCATCTAAGAATTAAGGCGGAGGTTCTCATCCGACAAGTGAAAACTAAGGCACCATGATGCATGCCTTTCGAATATTTTTCAAGTGAATGTAGGTAGGCATGCCACCATGAACTCACCGTGGATTGCACACGATCCCAGCCGACGCATTCACGACAGAGTGCAATACCCTGATCGAGACCAACTTGCAGATGTTGTATGATTCCTCTCAACATCTCATCCAGCGAGGAGAAAGTAACATAAAAGCTCGCCGTTTTCCCTGGAAATCTACTTTCTTACCTCCTCATCCGCGTTTCACTTTCTCCGATTCTCCACCTGTCTATTCACTCTTTAGAGAGACTTGACAATCTATTTTACAATCTTTTCCTCACATCTGTCAAGATGAAGCTGTCTGCTATTACACTCCTGGCCCTGACCTCAGCTGCTGTCTCTGCTCCAGTTGCCGAGCCTGGCAGGGAGGTCAACTACCCTTAGTATAAGCCCGCCAAGGGCAGGGGAGAACATGGCGGGCCTGGAAAGCCCAAGCCATATGATCCCGGCTATGGTGTAGGGAAGCCGAAGCCTCCCAAGCCGCACTTCCCTCCTCCCAAGCCCCACAAGCCTGATCACCCTGGAAAGCCAGACTATCCCAAGCCAGAAAAGCCAGAAAAGCCAGAAAAGCCAGAAAAGCCAGAAAAGCCAGAAAAGCCAGACCATCCAAGCAAGCCCCATAAGCCGTGGGAGAACAAGCCCGGCCAGCCTGGGAAGCCTCCTCACCCGCCTCCTAAGCATCCTAAGCCGGAACCTCACTATCCTCCTTCTAAGCCGCACAAGCCTGAGCCTCATTACCCGCCTAAACCTCCTAAACCTGATCACCCAGGAAAGCCCAACCACCCTGACAAGCCCGACTATCCTGGACCCGGCAAACCTAGCCACCCAGGACAGCCTGACTACCCAGGTGGTAAGCCAGACCATCCAGGCAAGCCTGAACATCCAGGAAAGCCTGACTATCCAGGACCTGGCAAACCTGATCACCCGGGTAAACCTGATCATCCCGGTCCTGGTAAGCCCGGCTACCCTGAGCCTGGAAAGCCGGATGGCCCTGGAAAGCCTGACTATCCTCAACCTGGAAAACCATATGGTCCCGGTAAGCCAACTGGACCAGGCAAGCCTGATAAGCCTTCTACTTAGGTCAGCAATTCATGGCCACGCTTCCATGCTTCAATAAAAGCTTAAGTCGATCTTGCTTAATGCAGAATCACACCCACGACTGGCCCTGTGTCTGGGATCATTGGGCAGTAGGACTTGCGACTTTTGTGCTAGGATGATGATGATCTTTCTTTTAGTGGATATTCACGCGGGGCAATCAACACTCATTTCTTGACTTCTCACACACATCTCAACGAGAGAACCTCTGTTTCTACCTTTCAAATTTAAAGTTTCTACTGTCAAAGTCTTTGACATCTGTTGTGGACTGATTTCTTCTCTTCTCATACTCTCTTTAATTGCATTCTCCCATAGCTAGGTTGAGCCAGTGGAGGGCCAATGAGAACTGACGCTACATACTATCATTAACATCAAACATGGTCTTCTCTCAAGTTTCATTTCTGTGATTGTGCTATATCGTTTTGAGTCGCTGAACCATAGTCCATGATCACTGTTCGTTGTGATCCAGTCACCACTATGTGCCTTGAAATGCACCAGTACTTCAGTGTGGCATCTTCAGCCCATACAAATCTTATTTCTGTCTGTTTCTATGAGATCCATACTATAAAAGCCTGATATATAGTTCAATAAAGTTTAGTTCCGAGCTCAATTCCGGAACCGGACCTCCAATTCCGATTATCCGTCATCAAGCGGGGTCAAGCATTCTGTCTCGCCATACCAACCTCGCATCCTCATATGAAACAGTGCACAAGTTTTATACATCTTTGTCGTTGATTCGAGCTCATAAAATGACTGTCCACAGTAGCCCCGATGACTCGTGGCACGGTGTCATAACTCCAGATGGCCCTTTCCAGCCCGAGAAGGACCGCTACCATCTCTACATTGGACTGTTCTGCCCTTTTGCTCATCGAGCAAATCTCGTTCGGCATCTCAAAGGTCTCGAAGATATCATCAGTCTATCTGTGGTGAAGCCCTACCCTAAGGGCGATGATAAGGGGTGGCCCGGTTGGCAGTTCCCGAGTCCTCCAGATGATCTCTATGAAGGGGCTACCGAAGATCACCTCTTCAAATCAAAGTATATGCACGAAGTCTACTTCAGAGATGACCCAGATTATAAAGGACGATACAGTGTACCTGTTCTCTGGGATAAGAAGGAGGATCGAATGGTCAATAATGAGAGCCACGAATTGCTTCGTTGGTTGCCAACAGCATTCGATTCCATTCTTGACTCGAACAGCCCAGGGCGAGACCTTGACCTCTATCCCGAAAACCTGAGAACGACTATTGACGACATCAATGTCTGGATGCAACGAGACCTCAACACTGGCGTCTACAAAGCCGGATTCGCAACGACCCAGGAGGACTACAACAATAATGTGCCAACGGTCTTTGCAGCACTTAACAAGCTCGAGGCACTGGTTCATCAAAACGGGGGCCCCTATATCCTTGGCAAGCAGCTCACAGAAGTTGACATACGCGCGTATGCCACCGTCGTCAGATTTGACGTTGTCTATGTTGGCCACTTCAAATGCGATCTTGGAACCATTCGCGCCAACTACCCAGTCATTCATGAGTGGCTCAAGAACCTCTACTGGAATGTTCCAGGTTTCAGAGAGACTACAGACTTTAAGCATATCAAAGAAAACGTAAGTCCCTAACTCATTTGCCTGAATGGGGCTAATCTTGGAGCAGTACACAAAGAGTCATTACAAGATCAATCCTCTTGCTATTACACCTCTTGGTCCCTTTCCATATATGGAGGAGGGTGTTGACCTGGACTTTGGCAAGCTGAAGCCAGGAGTGATTCGTCACCCGGCCGTGCTTGAGCGTCAGAAGGAGTTGTATGGCTCAGAGGACTTTACCCAAAGGCTCTAGTAGCCGTATAGATAGTAACATCCTCCAGAAACATATGATGCATTGGATTCGCCATCGAGTATTTGCGCCTGATCGTCAAACCGACCCTCATATTATCCTAGATCGTATTTGTTCATGTATGTATCAGTCTTAGACTGAAGTTCTGAGACTTATTATCGAAAAATACTCAAGACGGCCCCATGCTTCCTTGGTTCAATTCCATGCCTGTAGCAGACTGTAACCACGTATTCCAGTCAATGTCAGTATCGATATCCATATTGATATCGATGTCTCCCAATCCGTTGCCACTTTGATCCATGTCGGTCCAAAGCCATGACGCAACATCTGCATCTCCAGGCTGGCCATCGACCCATGTTTGAGGAGGCATGTTCATCTGTGTTGGCAGTATATCACCAGATACGCCCATCTGAAGACCAGGATGGTAAGAAGCAAAGTCGAAAGAGGGATTTGCCCACTGAGTGGCATTGCTACCCATAGCTGGATTGGCTAAAGGTTGCATCGTGTTGTTGTCACTGGTTTGAGGTACAGGTTGCTCGGAAGTGCCATAGGTAGTCTTGCCGACGGCAGAGCGCCAATGCTCAAGAAATCGCTGCTGCGAATTTGCCTCTTGTGACGATTCCGGGCTGACAGGGACAGGAAGCGAGCTATCAGCCTGTTCCAATTTCTCGATCATAGCTGGGTTGTTCCGAATTTGCGCCAGCTGCTCGTCCCGATGGCTCCTCGCTTTAGCCATCAATCGACGCAGCGGAAACCACATACGCGCGTTCTTGGTCATGTTGTGTTGCGACGGTATCAGCCAGACGCTATGCAGAGCCACCCATGCGCGTTCGACAGTGGGCGACCACTGTCGTCTGGATATCTCAATCAGAAGCCATACAATGGCATACCAGTGAGTATACGTCTGGTAGATCCATCGCCACTGGCGGCATTTGGTCTCAGCATTGAGCGCGTGGTTATGCTCTGCGACCTCGATAGCAGCGATGAGCAGTTTGTCTCGAATCTCGTCCGAGAAACGCTCACTTGGTGACGCAAAAAGCGACGGAAGATACACCAAGAGCGTCAATTTGGAAAGGACAAGCCGCGCGCATACAATCCCGACCCAATTGGCTATATCCTCTGGGTTTGCGGAGCGGAAAAGGTAGCCATCCTCAAGCTTTTCTTGGATACCGTCGAGCAGCTTAGTCTGCTCCTCGAGGGTCGGCCCAGATGAGTGAATACTCGATGCCATCAGCTGCCTCGAAACCCGAGCTAGCTCACACATGGAGAGTGCAAAAGACATGTCTGTGACACCTTTACGCTCTGGAGGAGTCTCCCTCGTTTCGGGCTCAATGTCCGAAGTGTTAACGTTGAGAGGTATCTTGGTGTCGAAGCTGTCTTGTGTGATTGAGAACTCAGTTCCCTGATCTTCAGACGCACGAATGTCAACTGTGATAATCATCCACCAAAGGCGACGCCGTTGCTCAACTTCAAACGGCGATAGATGCTGGAACCGTGAACCGTCTCGATGGAGGCCAACAGCATGAGCCATGCGAATCATCAAACCAGTCATCATCCATACGTAAACAGGGCTATCGTACCGCCTTGCGAGAGATAAGAAGATGACCAAGGCCTGAACAAGGATAATGTCTGGGTTGTTGAGGAAGTCTGCTCGTGCTAAAGCCTGTTCAAGGCCTCGGCGGAACTTCATATTGAGCTCCGTTTTCGTAGATCCAAAATTAGCTAGCACATCGTCATCTTCCATGGACGTGATGGCAGCGTAGTAAATGGAGAAGAGCAGCGCCTGGTGCTTGAGAGATATCTTGGCCGCTGTCCCAGGTGAAGGACGGACCATCTTTCTAATGCTCGGCATATGCACAATGTGCATGATGAGGTTAATGTTCTCATCGAATACGTCCAGTAAGAAGGGGATCTGTGATGGCAACGGGTTGAAGTCTTGTTCGCTGGGTGATGTAGGAGCTTGGCTGTTTCGAAACATAAACGCATGTCGCTCCGATGGTTCCCGGTAGAGTTCTTGAGTTGATGGAGTACTGACCGGAAAGTCTTCATCTTCTGAAGACTCGTCGTCATCTGCCATATTACGAGTGTCCATCTTCAACCCATCGAGCTGCAGGCAGTCAGGGCGATAAACGGGAAGAAGCAAGGCTGTAGTTGACGTACCTCATCACTGATACGGGACCAGAAGCCACTAGCTACATACTTCTCTCTATTCTTGTCCTTGATCACCATTCTCCCAAAATGTTTCTGTACATCTGAAGCCGTCGATGTTGACGACGGACTAGCTGCATCTTTCGCAGCATCTTGAGGCGATGGAGCATCAGAGGACGCACCCCTACTCGCTGCAGCATTAGCCACCTCAAGCTGTCCACTCAACTCCTTGACCAAATTCTCCAGCGTCCGCAGTCTATTCATAACCTGATCAGTGCCAGAGCTGCCACCACCCTGTCCTGCAGCACCCTGTCCATTATCGGTGATGCGCTCCAAGCGCCTTGCCCATCTTGGCGGACGGTCATTGGAGGGTACCACGCAGGGGATATTAGCCTTGCGACAGTTTGAGCATGGTGATAGCTTGTCGCAGCGCACTTTACGACTGCGACAAACGACGCAGCTGCGGAGCTTGGCTGTGGAGGCGCTCCTCGCGTTTTTCTCGGGCGCGGAGGCCGAATCTGACGCGAGAGGGGTTGGGACAGCGGGGGAGGGCGTCATTCGTGATGAACAGCGATAAAGAGACCAGCAAAGGTTAGATGGTCTCCTGTATGCACAGCTTGATATGGAAATATTTTGGTCCTTTTGTCGCGATAGAGATTTACGTCCTTCCTCGTGGAAATGAGCGTTTCTTCGGGTGAACTATCGCGGTAGATGCACTGCTTCCAACTATCGCTATCGTATACCATCAGTCACTACTTCATCACTGGTTTCGGTCAGCTAGGGATTCATCATAGCGACAATTTTTCTCGGTACTAAGCATTCTACAAGTATTCTTTTACTATTAACCCTGTATTCAGCTGTCAAAAGATGTATATGATCAATTGTTTTCCATTCGCTCTGATCTCCAAGCATAAGTGATAAGTAGCTACGATACCGGGTGTTAGAGTCGTGATAGGTTATCTGGAAGACAAGATAAGCGCTAAAACGTTTTGGGGCAACTGCACCATTCTCCTCGCATCACGGATACCTTAGGGTAGTACTCCTCTGAATAGGACAGCAAGAGTTCATCCAAGATAGGCACAAGAAAGAATATTTGATGTTTTCAGAGTAGATGGTCATTATTTGTATCATGTAAAAACTAAATCGTATGAACTGACTTACCTATACGTCCACGTTAAGTTCCCAAGCAATTCCCAACGCCTGATAAATGCACCCATCCCGTTGAACCGCTCAGTAGGTGATGGATGCAATCTTGTTCATGTACTCAGCACGCATCTTGACGAGCAGATTATCTGCCAGCCATTTCCCAGCGTCTTCCCTAGAGATAGTGTATCCAATCTCCAACGACTCTAACCCATTCTTGGGGTCTTCGATGCCTACGCGCACTGGCGTTTCGCTCTCACCATCCACCAGCAAACTGCCCCGCACGATGGTGAAGTCTTCACCACTGTCGGACAACTTGGTCTCCATGATCTTCTTGTCTTCGTGAGGGACCTTCAAAGCAATCGCATAAATAGGATAGAGAAGAAGAGGGTAATCGCGACCAAAGTCGGACATGCCAGTGGTGCTGAAGACGGTGATGTGAGGTCTTCCTACTGCACCCTCTGCACGTATTTGCGCGAGGGCATCAAGAAGGACAGACATGCCGATCCGACAACAGTTGGGATCATCGATGGTCATTTTGTAGATGATGGGCTTTCCTCCAATCGTAGAGACAATTGCATCGACGATTGAGCCATCGTCCTTCTTTAAACAAGAAGCGACAGCCTTGATATCGTGGGCGTTGCCTTCGACAATTCGTAGGTTGGAATGAGTTTTTGGTGAGACCTGCGCCTCCAGTTTTGCTGGGATTCGGCACAGAGCAACGCAGTTATGCCCTGCAGCCAGTGAATGTTTCAGCGCTGAGAGGCCTACGCCTGTGCTAGCGCCGAAGAATGCGATTGTCTTTGGTGAGGACATGGTCGTGGGGTAGAGTAGAGGCCTAGGAGATGCAAAGAGGTCGAGATGGTTTGTTTATTTCAATAGAGAACTTGTTTGATCTGGAATCTTTATTGTTGGAGACCATTTTCAATCGTCGAGGCCGTAGCCCTTCTTTTGTAGAGTTAGCTTGAGGCCGACAGTTGACCGAAAGCGAACAGGCCTGTAAACGACCGCTGGGATCTCGCTCTTTTTTCGCGCTCCCTCGCGTGGGGCTGCCTGACTGCGCGAGTTGGACAAGCAGGCCAAGGACAAGCTCAGAGTTCAACCACAAAATCACCTCATCTTACCCCAAGTTGCTAATTCCACATTCATGCATTGAAGCATGGCTGTGAATATGGAGAAGTCACATGAATTATCCTGGCTTGTTGTCGATGAAGACCACCAGCATACAGCCTGGAGGGCCTCGAACTGGCCGATAAGGCAATAGATTGGGCTCTGACCTTGAAAATGAATTTATTAGTTACACCCAGCATATGCAGCCAGCGTCTCACTGGACGCCATCCGTGTTAAGGCAAGCACCTAAGGCAGCGGCCTAGACAGGCAAGCGTCGTGAGAATTGCGGCTGAGACTTGGTATCCTAATCAATCATCGCCATTTGGGCGCTTGCAAACAAGAAGCAGAGTAATTCTGCGTTCTGCCAGGCCAACATGGCGATGCAAATGGTTCCTTCAAGCAATACAAATGCGCAGAGCCTCTGGGATCAAGCATACAACTCCCTCGGCGCAGACCTCAAGACATCACTGGGCCAGGCTGCGACGCATAAGCGCGACATTCTAGCCGCCGCCTTGGAAGCAGCGGAGAACCGTAAAGCCACCAGTCTCCGCAAACGCTGGAAGTTCAAGCGCTCAAATGGGGAAGTCGTTATTATCCGAGATATTCTCGAAAAAATTGCTAAATGGATTGATTCCTTCAAGGCGGTTGGCGATGCGGCTGTGCAGTTTGATGCCAGCAACGCTTCGCTACCCTGGGCCGCTGTCAGATTGCTTCTTCAAGTGACTGTCAACGATGTCCAACAGTACGGGACCATGGTTCAGGACCTTGAGGTGGTGTCTCGGATCATTGCGCGATACAAGGAGCTTGAGAATCTGCATCTTGGCCGAGACCAGCCCGCTGAGGCTGCGCTCGAAACAGCCCTCACGGTTCTCTATACAGAAGTCTTGACATATCTGGCACAAACTATTGCCTTCTTTTCACAATCAACTGCAGGCATGTTTGCAACTCCACTGAGAAAGACATTCACTGACTCTAGCAGTCCGACTCGCCAAGAGTGTCTTTTGGACGGGTGATGATGGGATACAAAAGATCTTATCCCGAGAAGACGAGGTTCTCAAGCTAGCTAAGCTTCAGGATACTTCAGACCTACGCTTTATCCAGAAGACAGTGCTTCGCCTCAGAGATCAAATCAACCACAACACCAAGCGTATCGAAGAGGACGATTATATAAAGATGATATCCTGGATGTCCACGTCGCCGTTCTCAATCCACCACGAAACCATATCTGAGTCAAGAACGCCAAACTTTGGTCAGTGGCTCCTAAGGCATGAGGCTTATATGAGCTGGTGCGAGTCTAGCTCTGCATCAACGTTGTGGATCCATGGGATTACAGGTTCAGGCAAGACCAATCTTTTCTCGGTGCTAGTCGATTCATTGCGGGCAACCCAGTCTTCGCAGCCAGAGTCAACTCCCTTTGCATACTTTTACTGCCTCGAAAGCGAGTCAGAACCGGATAGATCATCAGCAGACGGGATCCTACGCAGCATTCTGCGTCAACTTGCGATTACAGAAACCCAAAGTGTTGTCCGCGAGTTTTTCTACTCCGATTTCCAGCGCCGTTCGAGATCAGCTCGGCTCCTGGGATTAGACCTTCCAAAATTGAGTAGGAAGGAATGTGTGGATCGCATCGTTCAGGTCGCTAATGAAGACCCCATCACGATATTGCTGGATGGTGTAGAACAGGTTGAAGATGAGAGTTGCGATGTTCTCTTGCAGTCTTTGTCTGACATCATGTCAAAGGCCGAGAACGTCGTCAAGGTTTTGGTCACAAGCAGGAATAGCCTTGATATCCTGTCGTCGCTACCGACTACGAAAGAGATTATTGTGACGGCGGGCCATGTTCACGATGACATGGCTCGGTTCATTACTCAGAAGGTTGACGACGCAAAGCTCATCAATGGAAGGCTCTCTTCGGACAAAAGAAGCTGCTTGATAAAGGAGCTGCTAGAGGGTGTAGGCGAGATGTAGGCTCCCTATTCATTCACCTTACCATTATTGTCTTAACCAAATGGCTTTATCTAGGTTCCTATGGGTCCACCGACAGATACAGCAGCTCCGAAAGGTCAAGAACGAACATGATCTGCTCCCGGCTCTACGATCAAACATTCTCTCTGATCTCGACAAGCTTTACGAAAACGACCTTGGGCAGATCTTGCAATCAGGAGACACGTCGCGACAACTCGCCATTCATACATTCTCCTGGCTTCTCTACATGAAAGCGCCATTGACTCCCGAGGCGTTGCTAACTGCTATTACTGCCACAAGTATAGAGAATGTCCCCTGCACAGCGGCGGACCTATCTGTTGTGTGCTCAAACTTGGTGGTGGTAGACCTTCATCGCCAAGTTGTCCGACTTGCTCATCATTCAGTCAGAGAGTTTATCCTCCGTACTCAACAGCATTTGTTTTCTGCTCCCCTAGCTCACGGTCTCCTGGCATCGACCTGCATAAAAGTCAGCGCGCGTGGTCCGCCTGACAATGGAAGCCTGGAACAGCAGGTTCAAGGTTTCTTCTTTTACGCTGCAACGCACTGGGCAGGCCACTTTGAGAGTTCTATGGTAGCCAAGAAGGACGAGAAGCTATTTCAAGACATGATCTCATTTGTCTTTGAGGACGAGGACTATGATGCCAGCCTTTCCTTCGAAGCCTGGCTAGATACTGCGAAGGAGATTGCACGACTGCTGCCGAGGGATCACCCAATGAAGCCGGCTCTTGATGCCGTGTCAAACGAAACATCGTCTCCTCTCTTCTTAGCAGCTGTCTTTGGTATAGACGGCCTGCTGGCTCTCATTGCAGAGGCGGAGAGTGCTATAGACTGGGACCAACGGAACGCCCTTGGGCACACTGCACTCTACCTCGCCGTTGCTACTGGCCATCTCTCCACTGTGGCAGCTCTGATCGAGAAGGGTGCAGAGCTGAACGTCGAATGTGGTACATACGGGAGCCCTTTGCATGTTGCGTGTTTCAGAGGATATCAAGATATAGTGGAGAAGCTGCTTCAACATGGCGCATCTTCAAAGTGTGGTTCGAAGTTTCAGAGTGCCATCCACGCGGCATCTCAAGGAGGGCATGAAGTTATTGTGCTCTCTCTCATTGGGCACGATGCTATTGTTGACTCTGAGGAAGACTACGAGCAAGCCATACAGATGGCAACAGAGTATGGCTTCATCAAGGTCATCGATCAGCTACAAAAGCCAGAGTTCAAGCGCTTTGTAGACAAGGATACACCAGACAAACACAAAATGAGATTAGTCAAGGCCATCAAAGCTGGTCAGCTATTTGTACTTCAGCGTCAGACTACCAAAGCATCGACGGGAGCGACAGACATCTTCCCTAAAGACGCAGTAGCAATTGCATCTCTCTATGGTCAAACAGATATTGTCAAGTATCTTCTGGAACAAGGTCTTGATATCGAAGCCGAGGGTCAGTTCGGCACGCCACTTCGTTCGGCTTGCTTGATGAATCATAAATCCACGGTCGGAGAACTACTTCAGCGCGGTGCAAAAGTCAACACAGAAGAGCGGAAAGGGAACCCCCTTTATGTCGCCGCTGTGAAAGGCCACGTTGATATTGTCAGGATACTACTGGAAGAAGGCGCAGACGTCCACAAGAAAATGGGGGCTTGTGGCACTGCCTTGCAAGCGGCAGCGTATTACGGCCACAGAAAGGTTGTCGAGATGCTTCTTAACGCCGGCGCAGATGTCCATGCTGAAGGTTCATCTCCTGACGCCTTCCATGCCGCTGCTGAAGGTGGTCATCAGAGCATCATTATGCTCTTTCTAGGACGAGGCTATAGATTCCTGTATGAGCCGCCGAGTCCCAAGTACAAGAGAGCTCGGCCCTCGCCATACAGGCCACTTTATCGGGAGGCTTCTCCTGGAAGAGATAAACATCCTCGCTCTAAACTGTGGCCAGAACTTTACAAGCAGACAAACGAAACGACCGAATCTATCGCCAATGCAGATGCCCGTGACAACATTACACGAGTCGAGCAGGATGATGAAATGGATATGTTCGCTATTGATCAAGGAAAGCATCTCCGTAACGATGAAGTTATGCAGGACGAGTCTCAGAAAAACCGCCCTCTGGAAGCTAGTGCCGCTAGGGGAAAGGACTCAGTTGTCAAGATACTACTGGAGCAAAAGGAAACATTGGGATTCCGGGAATATGAGGTTGTTACTGCTCTCAAGGCAGCTGCGTCCAATGGACACCTCAACACCGTTCGGATGCTGCTCGACCATGCCTTGAAGATGAAAGGTAACTTTATTGACCGTATCTATGCAACTTTGGAGAGCTTACCAGAAGGGCGTCACGATATGTTGCAGCTTATTCTCGCCAAAGCCTCTGAGACTGGCTGTACAGAGGAACAGATTAATCAGCTGAGGCTGAAACTTCCACCAGGAGAAGAAAAGTACAAGGTCGCGGTCATTGAGCAACAAAATCTAAAGGCAGATCTTCTGGCATGCTGTACCTCCGGAAATGTGGCTGTTTTGGAGGCCATCATGAGTTGCAAACACCAACCGCTACTGCAAGCCAACGACCTCCTGGAAGGCCTACAGAAAGCTGCAGAGAGGGGCCATGTCTCGATAATTAAGAGCTTGTTCAAGCTTAGTCCTGATGTGCAAGGTACCGCCATTCCTGACGACATACTGGTATGCGCTGCCGGAAAAGATCTTGAGATGTTGAAGTTTCTCGTATCTCAAAAGATCGATGTATCTCATTCCGAACTCCCCCTGAGCCGATTGGTCTATGCGGCTTGTAGCAAGGGAAAGTCTGAAATCATTGAGTATCTCGTATCCGACTTAGGTGTCGATATCAATGCCAGTATTCCTGAAGACGAGAAGCCCAGGCGCCGTAGACGTATCAGGCAGTCTATCCACGCCAGCCTTATGGATGCTCCTCTGACTACCACTGATCAAGCAGATGGTTCGAGATCGACTGACGACCATCGTCTCTTTAGTCCTTTGCAAGTCTGTCTGAGCGCTTTTGATATCGCTGAGCGGTCTTACCATGCGAGCTGGTATATAGATGACACAATGCCTCAGCAGCAGAAAGCGATACATACACTACTGAGACTAGGAGCCGATCCGAATAGTCTAAGTGGCAAGAATGTTCATCCTCTTCTGTATGCAGCAAGATTCTGCCCAGCTTTTGTGGTAAAGGAGCTGCTTGAAGCTGGAGCAAATGTCAAACTTGCGGGTCAAGGAGGTCTAGCTCTTTTGGGGGCAGTTCAGAGAGAAATGGAAACCATGGAGGTTATGACCATGCTATTGGACAGTGGTCACCATCTTCCCGACTATTTTCATGGAGGCAAGGCGCTTCTAGACAAAGCTCTCATGTTATTTGAAGGCGACAGAGGGCGACAGAGGGCGACAGAGTTTCCTTAGCATTATTGATGACCCTGACGGTCGCTTTTTACATGCCCCGTCTCTGGATTACGTCTTTGAAAAAGGGCCAGGGGCGGTACTCGAGTTCCTTTTACAGAAGTATGACACAGGCAAGCTGGAAGATACAAGATATGAGCTGGTTCTTCAGATGGCTTGCGTGCTGGGCAAAATTCCTCTTGTTGAGTTGCTGTTATCTCGGGGAGTCGGTGTTGACGCTACGGGATACTACTATGGAAGTTCTCTGCAGGCTGCGGCACGTACTGGCCAGGTACAGATCATCAGAAGTCTGTTGAACAAGGGAGCCAACCCGAATGTGATACAGGGCCGTTGGCACACATCCCTGCGCGCAGCGATTGTAGGTGGTCACATCGAAATTGTGCAGCTTCTGCTTCAATATGGCGCAGATCCTAAGTTGAAGTACCAAGCTGGACGACAGTCAGAGAACGAAAGAGATTCAGCAGCATCGAGCACTCTTCAGCTTGCTCTGCAAGAGGGACACACAGAAATCGCAAGACTACTCCTCGAGACAGACCCGTCACTGATCGAAGAAGAAGGTCGCCTCCAACATCCTCTTATCATAAGCTGTCAAAAGGGAGACCACGTCATGACAGAGCTGCTACTAGAAGCCAATGCTTCGGTCGATGTTCGAGGCCACAAGGAAGCTAAAATGGCAAGTATGGAGGCTCAAGATGCGAGTCCTTTGCATGCCGCGATTTCTGGAGGCCACGTCAACGTCGTCAAAACGCTTTTGTCCAGAGGGGCTGATACCAACCTGGAAGTTGACGACTGTGACTGCCGAACACCATTGTTGGCAGCGATTAAACGAAGGGATTTGTGTATTGTGAGACTGCTTCTTGACTCTGGGGCAAAAGTCAACAGTTTGAGTCTTCAGGAAGCCTGCAGAAGTGGAGATCTTCTTGTTGTGGAGGCACTTATTGAACAACTGCTCAAAGACGGGGAGGATCAATTTGAGACCATCGACGAAACATTGGACTCTCTGACGATGGAAGAGTTCACTGACTACAGAGTTCTCAACCTTTTACTTGACTATGTGCCTCCAACTCCCAAAAGATTTCTCTTTGTGTGTTCATCAGGCTCTGTCTCCCTGGTACGAAGAATTGTTCAACAGGGCATGAGTGTCGATGGCAGTGATGAAGAAGAAGATACCCCCTTGCAAGCAGCTTGTTACCACTTGAACTTTGAATTGGTACGGTTACTCCTACAACGCGGCGCGAACGTCCGACCAAGATCATCTCAGCCTGGAGACCCCATTACACTGGCGCTATGGGCTTGCGCTTTACCCCTGCAGCAGCAGTTGGAGCAACGAGGGACAAGACATCAGAAATACCACGCAGAAGGTGTGGACTACCGAATGACACAGAAATGTACCAAAATTGTTCGGATCTTACTTGAACGCGGCGCCACTGCTGATGGTGGAACGGATGAATTGGAGAGTCCACTTCAACTGGCTTCTTTCATCGGCAACTTCGAGATCTCCAAGCTTTTGATCAAACACGGAGCCAGTGTAGATAAAATCACGGGAAGCTTCAAGACTCCCCTTTTTTCGGCTTTACAGGGGAGCAACAGTGACATCATACGACTGATCCTGGAAAAGGGGGTCGACGTCAACTACGTTCATCCAATTCATGGCTCAGCATTGCACTTGGCCTGCCAGTACAATGATGAGTCACTTGTTCTCCAGTTGCTTCAACATGGCGCCTCGCCCGCTTTGAAAGACGCAAACGGAGTCACGGCTCTTACGTTGGCCCTCGAGTCTGCAGCTTCTCGTGGCGGTTATGGCGCATTCCAGAATATACCCCGACTCATTTGTCGACACTCAACAACGCTCGATATCACAGATAGCGACATCATAGCTGCAGCTCAGCTAGAGCCCAGTGACTTGCTGTCTTTTCTCCTTGTCCGGAGAGGAGAAGAGCCCGTAACAGAAGATCTCGTCATTCGTTTCCTCAGCGAAGAGAGATGTCCAATCCTGGAAAGCCTGGAGGTTCTGTTCGATCATAGTAATCGATTGGAAATAACTCCAAAGATGCTGAATGTTGGGCTCTCTGAACAGGCTTTCAAAAGTCTAACACAGGCTTGCAAGCTCTCAATTGACATCACTCCCGATATACTCGAATCTCAAACAGATATCGGGACCCTAAAAGCACTCCTGGGGTATCAGCCCGGCGTCGAAGTAACGGAGGCTCTCGTGATTACAATACTGTCAATTGCACACGCGTTGCGTTATAGTAGATGGTGGCAACGGGAAGAGTGTACCAAGCTTCTCTTGTCAATCTGGCCTCGAGACTTACCACTACCAGTGACTAACGCCATGCTGAAAGCAGCAGGGTTAGTGCCCCATCTGGAGTTCTTACTCGAGCGCCTTGGTTCAGCCCAGGGAAAGCTACAAGATGTCGCGATATGGATTTGCGAACAGGGCACTGATTATTCCGGCAGGCAAGAGACCTTGTTGGCACTGGTCTTGCAAGCTGACCCAGAAGTTGACCTCTCCCCAAGTCACCTTGAGAAAATAATGCTCGGTGCCAAGCCTTGGATGTTAGATATAGTCTTGAAACATACGCCCTCTCTTCCTATCACAGAGAATTTATTTTTCAGTATCTTCAGAGAGTATCCACAAGCTCTAGAGGTGACACGGAAGGAGTTTGCGGAAGTACTTGCGAGGCATAAGAAGAAGTTTGTTTTCACAGGGAAGATTCGCGAGACTATTGATAGGGCATATCAAAAGCATTCCGATATTGACAAGAGAGAGACATGGTACAGTTTCAGGGAAAGGGATGAAACTCAGGAGGAAGTTGAGGCCAGGCAAGCACAGGGAGAATAATGGAAACAAGAACGATGATCACGTTACCCCATGAGACAAGATCGGTAAGTAAGAGGAGCCATTGTAGCTCTATGTGGGTAGTTAGAGTAATATAAGCATTCCCGGGGCTGAAGTTGCATGAGAATACTCATAGGTGACTCTAACGAGGAGTTTTGTCCGCAACTGATGGCCGATATCTGTTCAAGAGGCTTAAGTAACCCAGACAAGAACATATTCACAATAAATGGCACATGTGTATAATTGAACATTTGATTCGAAATAGCTAGCTGGGGTATAAAGTACAGAGGCTAAAGTACGAGTTTACACAATGCACAGGTAAATTCCAGGCTCATTTCCAGGCCGCCGAACTCAGAACCTTGAGCGCCTTCTTTACTCAGGAATAGGGCAAAGATCATAATTGCCGTTGACGTTGTTTCCCCACCAGCTTGGGAAAGGATGTCCTGGGCCACCAGCTCCAAACACGGCGAAAGAGAGGATGAACAGGACTGTAAGACTGGCACCGTCGAAGGCACCAGTCACGAGGTAAGAGTAGTCCCTGAAGATGCGAGGTCGGTAGTTGCGGAGGTAGAACTGGACGAAGAAGCCGGAGAGAATCTGGCTCAGGATAACGCAAGTCTGACTCTGGTTGTAAGGGATATATCCAGCGAACTGGATGAACTGAGGGAAGTTGACATCGGCAACATCAAAGTTCTTGATCTTGGGATAGAACTGAAAATTGTTAGTCGGTTGTTACAAAAGCTGATGACGGGGGTTGTTTACCTTGTAAAAGATTCGGTGGAGCACAACCAGACCAGCTCCAACAAGCAGACCGAAAGGAACAAGCTCATAAGTGCCACCGAGCTTGTAAAGATAACCAGCAAGAGCCCAAGAGGTAGCATTGGTGTTGTAAGATTGCATGGTAGCACCACTCCAGGATGAGTTACCATCGCCGTCACGAAGAAGATCTCGGTTGCTACCGACAATGCTGATCATGATAGCGTAGTTGATGAAGCCACCAAGAATAGTTCCCCAGATCTGAGTGAGGAACATGACACGAGGGGGGATTTTGACTGTGTCCTAGTTAGTATAGACTTGGTAGAATTGATGAGTGAAACCTACGATATTCGCCCATCTTAAGATCACCAGACAGGTTGACAGCGTTGGAGATGACGTTGTGAGACCACGCTGCGAAGTACATGTTACCGACGGGCTTGCCAGGAAGCATAAGACCAGCAATCATCTTGGAAAGGTTGTTGGTCGCAATACCGTTTCCATAACGAGAGTATAAGAGAGTGCTCTAGGATAAAGGTTAGTGCTGTTGGCTATATGATGGGTCTTCTGAACTTACGACTGGTGCGATGATGGAACCCATGATGAGTGAGACCACATAAGCCCAAGCAGGGAGAGTAATGTTCTCCTTGATGACAACGATCAAGCCGAGAATAAAGCTACCAACTAGGACTGTGACATACCACCACCAGGGAGCCTCCTTGTAGTGCTTGGCCATGTGCTCGTGGTGGCGGTCGTCATATCGTCCTTCCCTGGCGCTCTTGAAAGCCTTGACGACGTCCTTGCCCCAGAAGAGGATGCAGTGAAGGATGAGAGCACCGATCTGTTGCTAGTTTAGCTTTTGATACTATCAAGGTAGAGTTGGTGACTTACAGCAGCGTTGGCCATGAACATGGCATAGGCGAAGGTGCCAGTCAATCTGGGGAGGCCAAACTCCAACAAGCGTGACTCGTTGAGGACTCCGCCTTCGAAAACCTCAGCAACGGGGTAAGTAGTACCGTTGGCCAACAGGAGTCGAGTTGACATGAAGGGAAGAGACTTGGCGCCCCAGCCGTCTCCGTAGTAGATACCAGCCATAACGATATAGCAGACAATGAAACCAATAGCCATGTGAGCTTGGAGAGGGAGCGGGAGAGAGGTGTTGAAAGAAGTGATCTATACATGTCAGGTTAAGTTTCACATGGTTACTCAGAGTAACTTACATATTGCCAGTCCAGAGAAATGCTGAAGAGACCAAGACCCTCGTTGTTAGTAGCACCACCAAAGACACGAGTGAGGTTCTTAGCAGTGTTTCCGGTCGCCTTCATGGCAGCCAAGCACTTCATAAAGTGGTTAGCGAAGATATGGTATCACCAATGGTGGTATAGCTTACAGGAACCGAAACTGAGTTGAGCCAGGGGAAGATGTAGGCAGGGAAGAACTCGTAAATTGACATGCCACCGAAACTGTACCAGAAGACTCGAAGAGGCTTAGAGTCCTTGACCTCCTGCCAGTGAAGACCCTGGAGAGTCTTGACAGTAGGCAAGTTACTCCAGAAGACAGCATCAACGTGCCAGACAGCAACGGGTCGCATGATACCGCAAAGACCGTAACCGAACAGACCGATGGAAATGGTGCTCAGGATGACAGTAGTTGGGCTCAATGGCATGTCGTAGAAGAGATCCTGGGCGGCGAAGACCTGAACACTTGCAGCAGCGTTAGAGGCAGAGGTAGCTGTGATGGCACAGATGGCGTGTTCCTTGAGGCCCCATGGCCCAGGGTTGATGAACTTGATGAACTTGATCAGGAAGGGGAGTGAGCCAGTGTTGCCCTTGGCTCTCCATCGAGCTTCGAAGTTGTCGCCGCGGGGGAGGGCAAAGGCCCAAGCGTTACCGATGAAGTAGGAGATCAGGACGATGAAGGTACCCTGGATGGTGATCATGGTGGGTTTGAACTATATTTGATCATATTAGATGATATTCCATTGATTCTGAGGAGAAAGAGTCACGAACAGTGTAGATCTGGTACATGACAGCCTGGAAACAAGCCAGACCGGAGGCCAACAGAATACTTCGGAATGTCAAAGCGTTATCGTGATCGTCTCTCATCGGTAGCAGGTGGCGAGAGGCATCGGCACCAGTAACGATAATGGCATCTTTGCTATCGCTGTCGCTTTCGTCGGTATGAGATGCATCGTGAACCTCGGGGCCAAGAACAGCGTTCTTTGCGTCGCTCTTCTCATCGATGTCCGTTGGGCTGGGGACAGGGAAGACCGAGGTCTCAAAGGTGTCCTCGGGGCCGTGAGGCCCCTTGGGCTCGACATTTGTGGACGACATGCTTGAGCAGTCCTCTTCCTAAGAATGGTAAAGAGGGGTTTTGATGTCGTTTGTGTAACAATCCACAGCTGGCTCAAATCATCTGGGCTGCAGAGTCAATCTACGCAAGGGGCAGCAAGGCATCTTTATCTAAAACCACATCGTGGGTGATACCATCGCATTACACGATGAGCGAATGTAACATCCGTTGGTTCTGGAACTTGGATATCGGATACCACGGCGATAAGGAGCAGAGACGTCGGCCGCGTCTCACAAGAGTTCCCAGTTTCTCGAGGTCCTTTTGCAAGATCAATTCCCTTCTTGGACATTTGCCTCTGGGGGAGAATGGACCCTCGTGGTGCCGTTGCAACATACCGAAACCCTGTTCTCCTGCTCCTTTCGTACTAGCCACGTCCCAATTCTGTAACCCTCCCGCGCGCATATCGTGGAGGCGTTAGCGTTGAACTGTCGCCTCAAGTCCCCGAGGCTAGAAACGTCTTGGCCTTTGCCTCAACAGGTAATGCCTCCATGTTGCGCTATCGATTGTACACTCGGAAGAGCCGCACTTGAAGCCCGCCTCACCCGATGCCACCAGGAACTTGTGTTAGCGACTGCAAGAGTTGGTGACATTGCCTCAAGGTCATTGGTTGCAGAGTGGCTAAATGTTGATTGCGACATTCTGATTAGCAGGGGTCTTTGACAAAGGGTCTCAGACTGTTATAATCAAAGCGCGGTTATTGGTTTGAGCCTCGGAAGAGCTCATGTTACAGGGACTTTTTCATGGTGTTGGTCCAAACCCTTGTCAATTTAGACGGAATGGTACGTAGTTATGGTTGTACACTAGAAATCCAGAATTCTGGAACACGCCATGTCAGCAGCCAATTGATAAGGTTTAAATGATGATGTAACAATTCTACAGCATATTAACTGATGTCTGAGGGTGTTGTCTGAGACCTAAAAGAATACATCTTGAGCGGTAAGTGGGAATGATCTCGATGGACCGAGTATGTACTGTATGTATTTCTCGCAGAATGACACCAACATGCCTTTAGACATCCCACATTCCGGTGTTACATGGCCAGTGCAACCGGCTCAGTGGGATATATGGGGGATCCTTGGGCCCAACCGCTTGACTTTGGGGGCCAGTGACCTTTTGCAACGCACGTCAGATACAATCGTACCTCTAGTATATGGAACCTTTGATCATCAAGGGGTCAAAGGCCGAGACAATAGCAGAAGCGCCGACAGTAGATTCAAGCTTAAGTTGACTTAGGGTTAAGTGGCAGGATTGGGTCGCTTGTTCTCGATCTGGTTGATTCATTTATCGGCAGATTTGCCATCTTATCTGGGTCGTTTTCTGCCGTGATAACCGGAAAGCAGTCACGTGGTCCGGGTTTGCAATTAAATCGGGAGGGTCTTGAGGAACTTTTGCTCGGTACGACTTGTTCGTCAACAACCTTTAAAAAGGCGTCATCTAAGCTATCTTTTGAGGGCCCAAGATGCAAAGGTCCATTACCACGGGTTTCATATTCAATTTATTGTAATTTTATGTCCTTTCCAGTCGAAAATGTCACGAATTTCTTCGTCTTCTCTCACATCGAAACGGTTGACATATAAATAGCGTCGGCGGGACTTATCTGCTCTAGTCCGAATTCGAAATATCCCGATATCTTGATACAGCCTAGCAGGAGCCCGTTCCAGACGCCAAGAATACTGCCAAGCCGGCACTGATCGGTGTCTTGGACCTCCCCATTGATACGTGCGGCCGCGTATCTCAATGTTAGGCATGACCCCCCAGTACCTCGCCGCTTTCCACGATGCCATGGCCAGGTCGAGACTGAACCTCACTCTCGAATGCTTCGAGTTGGCAACTTTTGCCTTCCTCTTCCCCAGTAGTCTTTCATAACAGCATCCTGTAACATTTGACTTGCCTAACAG